TTTAAAAAACTAGGCTCAAAATAAAAGGAGAACCTCACAATTGCATGTTAAAAAAAAAAAAGATTTCTGGTCCTGATGTTTAACCTGTGAGCTCCCCTAATACACTCTATAATCGTGAGTATTGTCTGTGAGTTCTATGTGGCCATTTCAACAGATTATTGATCCTAGAAGAGAAGTAGTGGGCTGATGGTGTCAGAATAGAATAGCGAAGTTTGGAGGTAGGAGGCATGTCTGATCTCTGCTTCATAGGAATCATCCATGGGCAGCTGTCCAGTTGGATTCTCCCTTCCACTAGGGAAGCCAGAAAAGGTCTGATGTGGTCCCACCCTGTCACTATAGTGAAGGTATATCTAGGCTGGTGTCATGGATTAAAATGAGTTCCTCCAAAGATATGTGTCAACTTGGCTTGGCCGGCATTCTCAGTGATTTGACAGTTATGTACTGATGTAATCATCCTCCATGAAGTGGTCTGATATTGTCAGCCAATCAGTTATAAAGGGAGTAGGATGGAATCCAACACCTGTACTAAGATCACTAGGGTGGGATTCAACACCTGTATAAGCCCTGGACCAACGTTAGGGGTTTTTCCCTGGGATGTGGCCTGCATTGCCTTTTGTTTTATAAGTGAAAATAGGAGACAGAAGCCCAGAAGGAAGGCTCTCGGTACTACCAAGAAAGACGAATTGGAAGCAGAGCACTTCTTTGGGATCTAGGGTTCTTGTGAAGAGAATTTCCTCTCTCAGGAAGAGACTGACAGGAAGACACGTGAAGATTTCAAAGATCTTAGAAGGAGATAAGAACCTTTGCCCCAGAGCTGATCCAGAGAGAAAGCGTTCTCTTAGAGCTAGCACTTTGAATTGGACTTCTACCTTCTTGAACTGTGAAAGAATAAACATGTTATTAAAAGCCATGTCTGTGTGGTGTTTCTGTTACAGCAACACTAGATAACTATGGCAAAATTTGGTATCAGATTGGGGTGCTACGATAACAACTACCTAAGATGTGTAACTGGTTTAAGAACTGGGAATTCAGCAGAGGCTGGAAGCATTTTAAAGTGCCTAATAGTAAAATCCCATATTTTCTTGAAGAGACTGTGGGTAGAATGTTGGATATCAATCCTAGTGAGGGCTCAGGAGGAAGTGAGGAGAGCTGTCACACTGGAGATGGTAGGCGCAGCAGCAGCAGCAGCAGCAGCAGCAGCAGCAGCAGCAGCAGAGAAATAGTGAGACTAAGGTGAGCCCTTGGAGTGAGAGAGCTGAGCACTTTGAGCCAAGGCTTACTGGTGGAGTGAGGTGCCTCTGGGTACTTGTCAATACAGCTACAGAGTCTGTAACATTTGCCAACACTAGGAAGTCTAGGCTGGCTCAAGAAGTCCAAGGGGTCAAGGAACTGAAAAGCCAAAGGCCCAGAAAGTAGAATGTGAAGCTACACGAAACTGCCTTGATCTCAAAGGATAAGACCACAGACCCCGACGCTTCAACGAGATCTTTAACAAGATTCCAGAGTGTGGGGATCCTGTTCACAAGTGTCTAGGAGATGAGGTTGGATTCTTTGCCTTTCACAAACACCAGGGGAATGGGGCCAGATCTAAAGCAGAATGGGTGGGGCTGCCATGCCCAAAGGGCAGAAGACCAGGGCCTGGTGACATCCAGCAGGTAGGTTCCATCACTCTGTTGGCTGAGGAAAATGGGGCTTCCCCAAACTAAGAAAGCGGAGTTACCATCCCAGTGGGTCTGCAAGGTTGAGCTTGCGACCAGGTCTAAGGGGCTTTCATCCCAAATGCAGAGAGCATGGCTGACGCCCAGCGCATGGCGGTCACGCCTTTGGCTCGATGGCCTCAGGGAACAGAGGGCTCTTTGCAAGCCTTGAAAGCTAATAATGTAAATGGGTTTGCTGTTTTTTATTTTGTTTTTTTAATTTGGTCAGTGCCCTTCTTTCTCTCCAATTTCTCCTTTTTATAATGGAAATATATATATATATATCTATCTATTGTGCCTGTTCAACTATTGTACATCAGAAGCAGATAACTTGTAATCTAGATTTCACAAGTTTACAGATGAAAAGAAATCTTGTCCCAGCATTTGGACTTGGAGTTAATTTAAGACTTTTGGATGAAATGATGCAAAAAACGTGCTTTGTGTGTGGCCAGGGCATGAATTTTAGGGTGCCCGAGTTGGTTCCCTTCAATGCTCATGAAAGCAGTGTAAAGAAATTAAATGATGTCTTGCACTGGGTATAGCTGCTGTCCACGACCATTTTAACGTACAAAGATGTCTCTGAGCCTTGGGAGCAAGGTGCACCTGACCCAACCCCTGGTATTTTCAATCACCTCGTGTCTGCAAGAAAGCTGGACAATAGACACAGAAGACTGGAGAAAAATTGATGTATTTGAATCATGGTGTTGGCGAAGAATATTGAAAGTACCATGGACTGGCAGGAGAACAAACAAATCTGTCTGGGAGAAAGTACAGCCAGAATGCTCCTTAGAATAAAAAATGGTGACACTTCATTCCATATGCTTTGACATGTGATCAGGAGGGACCTGGAAAAGGGCATCATCCTTGATAAAGTAAAGGGTCAGCAGGAAAGCAAAGGTTGCTCAACAAGATGGATCGATCAAGTGGCTCAAACTTAACACCTGCGAGAATGGCCCTGGACCGGCCCATGGTTCATTCTGCTGTACACGGGTTGCTGTGAGTTGAAACTGACGTGATGGCACTGAACAGCAGCAACGACAAGGGTGGAATGTCATGGATCAAACTGTGTCCATACAAATCCATGTCAACTTGACTGGGTCAGGATTCCTAGGGGTGTGGCAATTCTGTAATGACAGAAGGTGGCCATTATATTACGATGTGATCATACCCTATGAAATGTGGTATAATCTGATTTGCTCAGCCAATCAATGGAAGGGGGGCATGGTGGTGTACAACATCCTTACTCAGATCCTGTGCAAGGGAAGTTTCCTTGGGGCGTGGGCTGCATCACCTTTTATCTTACAAAGGATAAAAAGAGAGAGGAGTGAGCAAAGGAAGAGGGAGCTCAGTACTACCAAGAGATGAGAGCCAGGAAGAACACGTCCTTTGGATCTGGCTGGGGCCCTTGGCTGAGAACCTCCTATCTCAGAGTAAGACTGGTGTCAAGACTCAAAGAACTGCCCTAAGAGTACCAGGCCCACAGATGTTTAATGGACGCAAGGACCTTCCCCTCCGAGCTGACACACAGAGAGTCTTTCTATATCTCTGGCATCCTGAATAGGACGTCTAGCCATCCTAAATTGTAAGAGAATAAATTTCTGTTTTTTCAAGCCATGATGTACTTGTGGTATTTCTGTTATAGTAGCACTAGACACCTCAGACAGCTGTTTCCTATTTGCAAAGGCTTTTCGAGAACTTTATTTCCTCCTCCTTTATCTGTCAGGCTAGAGGAGGCTGTCTGTTTCCGCTGTAAGATCAGCAGTCTTAGAAACCCTATACAGGTTTGCTATGTGTCCGAATCGACCCGATGGTCATGGCTTGGTTCTTTCTGTCCGTCAGGACTGTTAGGATGGGTTTGGACATGATTGTCTTAGGGTGGCCACCTCTGCGAACCTACCTTGGTGCAGTTGGCCGCCTTGGGCTCCAGGTCACTGAGGGTGACAAGTTCTCGAAGGAGGCTGCTTTCCTGGTAGCCTCCCTTGACACCACGCAGTTTGAAGTAGGCCTGGCTTCGCTGCAGAATAAGCCGCAGGTTGACAGCAAATCCAGCCATGTCTATGGCAAACGGTCGGTGAGGATCAAACACGGTCTTCCAGCCAACCACCTTTCCGGCTCCGTTCACCCGTGGGGCCTCATACCGGAGGCCACCCACAAAGGCAACTGGCCACACAGACACCCTCCGGGTGCTTCGCATCTACAAATCAAAGCACCTGTGGGTCAGGGTGAGCCTCACCCCCATGTGTAGTAAAATGTGTCCATTTCAATACAGAGGAACACCTGGCCCTGCCTCTGTCTGCTTTTGGTGGCGGCTGCAAAGGACCTGCCCTCAGATTAGCCAGTCTCCCCTTCTCCACGTGGCTCTCCTTTCTTTTTTGTTTCCAACACTCTGATTTTACCACTTAGAGTCTCACCTGCATGCCACTGGCTACCCAGCCCATAATCCAGAAGAAAGCTCGTGCTGGGGTTCCGACAGTGGGTCCCTAGGGCTGCACACAGAATGACCCTGCCCAAAGCCCTCATCCAGCCAAGACCTCTCGCACCCGAAGATGAATTTAGGAGCTTCAGACACCAACGTCCTTCTTCTAAGGGTGGCAGGGGGACTGTTTACACTGCCGTGAGAACTGTCTCCTCTCCCATCAGCATCGAACCCCAGCGTGACTCCCCTTTTCCTGGCTTCTCTGTGGACCCAGACCACAGCACCCACGCCTGGGCTGGGGCACCCTCCCACTGCCCCATGCCACAACCCGCTGTGGTCACATCCTCCCATTTGATGGCTCGCCCTCCTTACCCACTCTGGTCCTGCGAGCCACCCGTGCTGCCCTCAGCCCCTGCCCCACCTCCTCGAAGAGCTCCAGGCTGTAGGTGTTGTCATCGTCCGCAAAATAGACGACGCCCGGCTGGCTGCAGTTGCGGGGGAAGGTCTCGCGTAACCAGCGCAGGGCCAGGTTGCGCTGCATGGTGCCGCGCGGGATGCGGGGGTCCCGGGCGTCGCCACGCAGCTTGTAGTTGCGGGGGGTCTCCACGTGCAGATGCGTGTAGTTGAGGCCCGTGTCCCGCAGCAGACGGGCCGTCAGCGGTGTGCGCCGGGGCGCGTCCTCCACCACCAGCCAGTGCAGGTTGGGCACGTGCAGCAGCGTGTTGGCCATGCGGGTCAGCTCCGCCTTCTGCACCGGGCGGCTGTAGGTGGGCGTGACCACGTGGATGGTGGGCAGCGTGTCCGACCAGGGCGGGGGCCGTGTGTACACGTACTCAGTTCGCACCACCTCCACGATGTCGCGGTCTGACATGCAGTACTCTCTGGGGTCCGTGCCCGGGCTGGTGCGCTTCGTGTCACTGCCGTCATCTGTGGGAACAGGGAGGCAGCATGGGGTGAGGAAGGCAATGCTGGGTCTGGGTTCTGACTCTGCCCGGATATCCCTTCCCTGCCTGCTTCCCGCCACCCTCGCCACCCCCCACACCACCCCATTCTTGCGCACAGGCCGCCAGGCCTTGTTTCCCAGGGGAAGTGTCTAGAGACACGTAAGTTCAGATCGAGACCTTTGGCCCTGCCTGTCCGGAATTTTCCAAGTTCGGACTCTGGAAAGCATGACACAGAAACAGCCCCGTCCCGCTCCTCAGAGTGGTTAGCAGTGCAGCTGTGGAACGCAGCCGCACAGACTCCAGGGTTGCATCCTTGGTTTTTATGGGTCTGGGGTTCACACAGGTCAGGGTCCAGACCTGCCTCAGTCTAGCGTCCTGTAATGGCCTGGAGCCCATGTGCCCATCTTGGACACATGGACAGCGCAATGGGACCACCCCCTTGTGTGACTTAGAAGCTGTCAGGCCCATCGTGTGAGGTTGGGCTTAGGAAGCTGCAGACCAATGCTGACTTCTAAGGGGCTTACAGGCAGCATTCCCATATTGCTTCATGAACCCGCTAGCCACGCAGGGCGTTCTCATCTGGCCTTAGGCTATGAAACTTTGAATCCTGGCGCAGATTTTAATATTTAAAACTATGGTATCACTTAGGTTAAAATTTAGCGCCCTATCCATCAAACTCCCTTATGATCATTTAAATTCTAGTTTTTAAAATATTTTCTGCTTTCTTTTCAATTGAAGTTTTATCTGTTTTACTGTTACTATTATTAGTCTTTGAAAAAATGTTTTCCTGTGTATGAAATCCAGGACAGGTAGCTCTATAGAGATAGTAACTGGATGAATGGTTCCTTGAGGGGATGGGAGGGGGAAAGTTGAGGGTGGGGTGGGGATGGGAGCTCATTATTATGTGTACAAGGATGAAGAAAATGTTCTTAAACTGATTGTGGTGATGACTGTACAACTCTTCGTGATATGATTGAACTACTGAATTTTATATGTGAATTATATACCAATGAAACAAACAAACAAAACCCACCAAGCTACTGCATCTATCCAAGTGTATTTTCCCCATTGTATTCAGGGTAATATTGAATTTTAAACCTTTAGTTCCTGATTTTAATTATTCTTGCATTTTAGTACAAAACAAAAGGACAGGGTGGACTCGTTTGGGCTCTTCTGTGGGGTTAGTGTCACTCTCTGAGCCTGCACTTTCAGTTCTCTCTCTGGGAGCCCATGTGCACTACCTGCACCTGAGTGTCCCAGGATCCAACTCATTTCATCCTCCTCCCCCTACAGCTAGAATGGAAGACCCTGTCTTGTCAAAGCCCAGCCTCTGGGGAGAGGGAGGTTTGGGAACACGTTACTCCCTGACGGCAGCCTGCTCCAATGGGAGCAGTTCTAACTGCTGCAATGCTTCTGTATATCCTTTACATTTTCCTCTTTGGCAAACCTAGTCATCCTAGCAGGAAGAGAAATCAATGCCACCAGTATTCTTATTTTTAATGTACCCCTTGATCCAAGTGACCTTCTTCTTTTGAAGGAGTCAGGCACTACTAACCTACTACTTGACCGCACTATTCTCACATTACCTCAGCTGGAGGTTCTCACGCTCCAGAATCGAAACCCCCAGGCTCTGGCCCTGGTTTTGTCACTCACTCTATGACCCACTTAACTTCTGGTACCTCAATCTTGGCAGCCGTAAAATGGAGCTAATAATAGCATCTCGTTTATAGAGTCATGTGGGTGAATGGACCGAGAACACTGCCTGCCCAGTAACTATAACTTCTACATGTAGAGAATGAAGACAGGAGCCAGTCCTGCTTCCTAGTGACTGCATGAGACCATGGGGAGGATCCCATGAGCCATGTGCTCACACCACATTGTAGACAGTTCACAACTGGCAGGATGCTGAAGCAACCGGTTTATCACCTTCTCGGCATCCCATCACTCTCCTCAGTCATGTGTGGGTGTGCTGGATGCCTGGTGAAACCAGAGGCTGGACTCCTGGAGGAGATGTGGGTGACGGAGAAGAGGCACTGCCTCTGCTCTCAGGATGCGGATGCCCATGCCCTCACTCAGAGCTCATGACCAGGCCACAGATCTGCGCTGGCTGGTGTACAGCTGGTGGTCTAGGGGAGGGAGGCAGAGTTGCATGGATATTGTTGATCAAAGGTCATTTTTGGAGACTTTTTGGATCGAACTGTGAAAGAACAAAGTTGAGGGCAGAGGGGAAACACTGCAGGAGGTCTGATAAGGACGTAAGGTAACATTTACCTTGTAGTCAGGAAAGTTTGGGGAACCAAGGCTCAAGAATAAAATTGACAGCCATTCTATCTAGCTGTCCACTATGTGGGCCATAACAAACTATGGGTAGCCATTAGAAGAATGGGAATTCCAATATCACTCATATCATATGTAAGTAAAATTTTGTTGAAGATCATCCAACAGCGATTCTACTGTATATTGACAGGGAACTGTGAGATTCAGAAGAGGACGTTGAACTAGGGACATCATTGCTGATGTCAGATGGATCTTGACTGAAAGCAGAGAATACCAGAAAGATAGTTACTTACGACTTACTGACTCTTCAAAAGCATGAAACTGTGGACCATAACTAAGTATGGATGGCCTTGAGAACAATGGGAATTCCAGAACACTTAATGGTGCTAATGTAGAGCCTGTATCTGGATCAAGAGGCAGGTATACAAACAGAACAAGGCAATCCTACATGGTTTAGAATTAAGAAAAGCATTCATCAGGGTTGTATCTTCTACTTATACTTATTCAAACTGTATGCTGAGTATAATCAAAGAAGCTGGGTTATGTGAAGAGGAATGGAGCATCAGGATTGGACAAAGGCTTGCTAATAACCTGTTAGGTGCAGGTGACACAATCTTGATTATTGAAAGGGAAGAGGACTTCAAGCACTTGCTGATGAAAATCAAGGGTTGCAGCCTTCAGTATGGATTACAACTCCATGTAAAGAAGACCAAAAACCTCACAACTGGATCAGTAACATCATGATAGATAGGGAAAAAGTTGGAGTTGTCAAGGATTTCATCTTGCTTGGATTTACAATCAATGTTCATGAAAGCAGCAGTCAAGAGACTAAAAAATGCATTGCATTGGGTAAATCTGCTGGAGAAGACTTCTTTCAGGGGAAGAAAAGCCAGGATGTGACTTTGAGGACTAGGGTTATCCTGACCCAAGCCATGGTGTTTTCAATCGCCACATATGCATGTGAACGTTGGACACTGAAGGAGGAAGAGCAAGGAACGATCAAGGCATTTGAATGGTGGTGCTGGCGAGGGATATGGAGAGAACCATGGACTGCGGAAGAACAAACAAATCTGTCTTGGAATTAGTCCAGTCAGAATTCTCCTTAGGAGCAGTGATGGTGAGACTATGTCTCAAGTACTTGGACCGGATATCAGGAGAGACAAGTTCCTGGAGGAAGACATCACGTTTGTCAAGGTATAGGAGCAGCAAAAAAAGAGGAAGGCCACCGCCATGGGTTCAAATATAAGAACAATTGTAGCTGCTTCAGGCTATGGCGGTGTTTCGCTCTGTTGTACATAGGGTCACCACGAGGTGGCGCCCGACAACAACATCTAGCCTTCTGCTTCCTTCAAAAGAATCATCCTGGCAGGTGGCCCTGCTGCCCCTCATGGAAGTCCCTGTGGATCAGGCCTCTCCCACAGCTCACTGCTCTCTGATCTGTTCCTCAGGGCACGGCAACCGAGGAGGCATGAAGTCAGTAGAGCTTTCCTAATTCACAGAGCTTCCACTTCCATTCACTTCCTTGGGTCTACCTCCAGGGACACCAAGAAACCAAAACCCCGGCCCTAGATAGTAACACCAGGGCCTAGCAGTGCAGCCCGACTCCAGGGTGCTGTCAGCGTGAGCAATCAGATTGTACACGGTGGAGAAGTAAGGGTGGTTCTATCGCCTATGGAATAACGTATTTACCTTCTGATAACAAGAGCCCAGCTGGGGGTGGATGAGGTAGGGGAGGTCTTGTCAGTCAGAGGACCTAACAGTCCGTAAGTGGGGTAGGGGCTTAGTCACCTAGCTAGACCTTGCCTTGCTGTGACTTGAGCCACCCTGGCAGTGAGCCTACTGTGCCACTTGACTATGGTAGGAGCACAGTGAACGTGGTGCCTCTTGGACACCCAGTTACATGGGCATCAGATGGGATGGCAGGTGAACTGCAGAGACTTAGGCCCTTCCCCAGGCCTAGGTGTCTCATCTGGGAGAGGCTCCCACTTCTGTGTTTGAGCCCGTGTCCGGTAAAAGGATGGCCATGTCTATGCAAGAAGGGCTGTGCTAAGAACTGAGCCTGGGGATTCACAGGGTAAAGCAGAAAGTACAAAGGTTGCTACAAAATCATAGGAACATATATTAAACAAACAAAAAATATCAAGATGTGATATATCCCCCATCCAGGTCTAACAATTCTTAAAATAAAAGTATAATTTGGGTGAAAGTTTGCAGAGCCAATTGGTTTTTCTTTTTATTATTTGCAAGTTGGTTTTTCATGGGTACAGTTCTGTACCCATTTTGTTTTGCGACATGGATTGGTGTCCCCACAATGTGATAGCACTCTTCCCACTTCCTCCTTATGCTCCCCAGTTCCCTTTGTCTTCTTCTCTACCCCTTCCAACCTATGGAGCCTTATCCCTGGGCCGATGCTGCCCTTTTAATGTTGCATGGTTGGTTCTTCGGAGAAGCGTGTATTTCCCTGCATACGGTATGTTGTTCATCCTACAGGCCTGAATATCATTTGGCTGTAGGTTAAGACATGGGGGTAAATTCAGTTCCAGTCCTGAAGCAGAGAACAGTCTAAGAGCCAGCAAGGGTGCCCCGCATTTCTGTCTACCTGGTAATCCTGGCCTCTTGATGGTTTTGAGCTGTGTTCCACATTTTTCTACCACTCTATCCAGACCCTCCTATTGGGATCCTGTTCGGAGATACCAGGAATAGTCGCCAGGAACCAGCTAGTTCTTGTCTCGAGGGCATAGAGACTGGTATTTACATGGTCCATTCATTTTTTTTGGACTAACTGTTTCTATGCATCTTTGACTGTCTTCACTCTTTGCTCCAGATGGGGCTAGACCAATAAGCTGCACTTTAAATGGCTGCTCAAAAGCTATTGAGTCTCGAGCTGCCGCTCACCAAAGGAAGCTGTGGAACTCTCGCTGTAGACCATGTGAGGCTGCCTGTAGGCCCACGCTCTTCTGGAGGATGCGCTTCCTTTTATGTAGTCCTTCCTTGAAGAAGGCTGTACTCGTCCATTTATATGAAGCCAAAATATCCGTTTTGGTTTCTTTGAGGGACTCAAATAATGTTCCCTTGAAATGTTCTTTGAGTTTGGGGAACAAAAAGACTGAAGGAGCAAGCTAAGGGCCAGGTTCTCCAACCAAATTCACACAGGGCAACCCCCACTCGTTATCTCAAAGAACGAGCAGGTACATTCTTGTGATGGAAAAAGAAATTTCTCGGCGCAACTTTCCTGGCTTTTTGTCACCAGTGCCATTTTCAATTTTCTTAAACCTCAGTTTGTAGTAAGAAGTTCTTTAAATCGTTCTTGATGATCATCTTGGGTCCTTCAAGATCTATTGATGGTACGCCTAGCAGATTCCCTCAAAACAGTAACTATAACTGCTCAGTCGTGAATTTAACTGGCTCAGCAGATCTCTGGCAAGCCTCTGTTTTGATTGGATAGTTGTTTAAAGGTGCCCTCACCAGACTAAGAGGAGGGTAACCTGGAGAGAACTTGTCTGCAACCCTCCCCTGATCACAGAGACACATTGAAACACATTTTGTTGGGGACACACCCGTGCACGCTCAACTGGAACCCTATGGCGATGCTTTTTGACTTTCCCTGGGATGTGGAGTGAGCAGAGGAGGGGGTGGTCTCTAGACCGAGGAAGCAGGAAGCAGGTTGGGTGAGGGACCGAGGGTTGCCTTAAGGAGCCGGAGTGTGCAGAGGGAGAGGCAACCTGGTGCACTCGGGGCCAGGAAGAGGCTCTGCTTCTCAACTTGGTGCTTTGTAGACTCTGTGGGGTTTTACCCTTCTTCAGACTTGTGTCCCCTAAGTAGTACTAAACGAGGTGTCCCAAACACAAAAAGAGGAGAAAACAAGATATTGTCCTTGAAAGTTTTAAAAACACAACACAGACCAAACTCTCATCTACCCGTCTCTCACCCACACCCCACCTGCGGTAAGCCCCCAATGCAGGTTTACGGAAAATCAGACGCAAAGGGGAATGAAGAGCCTGCATGAGTATATCTATGTGTGTATCTATGTGCGTGTGAGTATCTATTTCTCTGTGCGTGTCTATGTTGAGTATGCATGCCTTTGTGTGTGTGGGCTCTGTGTGTCAGTGCTGTGTGAGCACATGTCTCTGTATGTATCATGTCTCTGTGTGTCTCTCTCTCTGTGACGTCTTGCTCTGTGTAGGTGTGTCTACCTTAGTTTGCATGCTTGTCTCTATGTCTATGGGTGCAACCTTTCAGTAGAATCTCAAAGGGGCCCAAGAGCATTGGTAGGCTGATTCTTGCGGTTCTGCCCACCCCCTTACTGTGATGCTGGCTGCTATGGCCCTCATCGTGGAAGCGCAGAGGCCTGGGGCAGGGCTCACCCTTGTGCACAGTGAGGAGGGGTGCAATGGTACTCTGGTGCCAGACGGTGATGAGCAGCGTCCAGGGCAGCACAATGAGGATGATCGCCAGGATGTCCCGTCTCTTCGGCATCTCCAAGGCTGGCTGGGCCCACAGCTCCTCATTACCTGAGTGGCAGCAAGGTCAGGAGAAGGGTGGCAGCGGGGTGGCGGCAGCACAGGGGAGAAAAGAGAAGGAATGGGCCAGGCCGCCCACACAGAGAGAGGGCAGAGAAGCCGAAATGTTGGCTAGCAGATCTTACCCGCGCTCACAACCCACCCATTGCGGAAGCAGGTTCGGAGAGTCCGGCCTTGTTGAAGTCTGGGCAAAGGTGGCTGTCAGGGCCGAGGTGAGGAACCCTGGGAGGCAGCTACCTACAAGAGAGAGCAGAAAAGCATGGCCAGGGACCAGGGCGCGAGCTAGGGATGCCGGGAAGGGCAAGTTTGCACCGGGGCATGCTGGAGCAGGCGGTCTCTGGGAGTCGGGAGGGTTCCTTTCATGGGCCCCTTCTGTCTGGCTGCTCGTTGACCAGACTGGCACACCTTGGGCATGGCACAGGCACATTTAATGAGTCAGTGGATGGTGAAGGGGCAAAGGACCCAGATCTTGGAGACACACAGCCCTGGCAAATGTCACCATTCTGCCACCAACAAGCTATGTGATCTTGGACAAGTGATGTCACTTCTCTGTGCCCCAATTTCCTCATCCAAACAGTGAAGTGGCATCCACACCTACTTCACAAAGTAGTTCTGGGGTCTACACTGGGTCACGATAGGTTTTTCCAGACCCGAATGAAGGATCGGAGCTACGGCAAGCCCTTTGAGGACAAGAAGAGGTGCTTTAGAGTAGGGTGCTTGGAGGAAACCCCGTGAGTTTCATGTTGAACCCAAACTCGGGTGGAATGTCATCGGTGGAGGACTACATGCCAGATGCTGGAGTTTGGATCACCAGGGGGAAGAGCTGGCCCTGGCCAGTGGCCACAAGGTGTACAATGAGCATTCATAGCAGGGCCCCTGGATTGGTACCTACTCCCTGAGAAGCATAAACTTGACTCAGATTTCCATTCATTTCTGCAGAGCATCTGCAGGGACATCTGCTGAGTTGTCTTCTCATGTGCCGAGGGTCCAGAGGGTAGGCGGAGTACCCCCAAAGTGGGGCCCACCTCTCCCAACTACCATGGAGACTGTCACATGATGCTCTTCCCCTCCTTTCCTCTACTTGGGTGCTGAGCTTTGCACGAGAGGCAGATTGTGTGATTCTGAGTGCACGGTGGGGGCAGGAGGAGGATAGCCCTGGACCACCCCACCTGCCTTGAGGTGCCTACACCCCTAGGACTCACCTGGCAGGTGACACCACAGTATTTTAAAAGAGTGTACTTCCCTCTGGTTGATTGGCCTTACTTCTAAGTTGTTTTAAGGACTTGTGAAAGAGCTAGGAATTGTCTCCCTTGGAAGGAGCCTTGAAGTCAGCCAGTATCCCCTCCTTTACCAGCAAAAGTGACCTCTGCCTCTAGAGTGCCATTGTCAGCAGATATGTGCAGCCCTGGCCAGCTCACCGGAATGGGCAATCCACAGGGCTAAATGTCACCTTAGTGGTCAAGCCAACAGTGGGAGCACGCAGAATGAATCAGCCATTCAGGGGTGTGTGTGCATGTGTGCATCTATGTGCACATTCATGCATGTGTGCGTGCACATGCATGTGTTCAAGGATGTGGGCTTGTGTATGTAAGTGTGTCTGACTTGGGGATTTT